AAGTGAGGTAGATCATGCGTGAATGCTGTCCAATAAATAGCTGAATAAAATTAACTTTTACAGTGATCCTTATTAAATCCGAATTTTAATTGAAATGTAGAACATCTCCCGAATCTATTAATATGCAAGGTGAGTTGGGAAAAGTTCAGTCTGATATTATATTTACACTTTTAATTAGGTTAAATGTTTGGATTTTTGTCCCCCGCTTGAAAAGTGGGGGATATTAATTTGGGTTTGTCCGTCCGTCCGTCCGTCCGTCCGTCTGTCCGTCCGTCTTTCTGTCTGTCTGTAACGCTTTCGTTTCCACACGATATCTCGAGAACCCTTTGAGCTTTTGCAATAGAATTTAGCATAGCAACTCCCTATGGACTAAAGAAGACCTCTATTGATTTTGAGGTCAAAAGGTCAAAGGTCAAGGTCATAAATAAGCAAATTCTGTCTGTTAAAACACTTTCGTTTCCACAGGATATCTCTAGAACCATTTGAGCTATCGCAATGAAATTTTACATAACAACTCCCTGCGGCATAAAGAAGACCCCTACTGATTTTGAGGTCAAAAGGTCAAAGTTCAAGGTCGTAAATTTATACATTGTGTCTGTGTGTAACACTATCATTTCCGGGCAATATTTCAAGAAGATTTTGAGCTTATGCAATGTAATTTTATACCAAAACTCCCTAGGACGTCTCTCGCCCCTCTCAAAGTGCCCCGCCCCGTTTGTTTTATTAGTATTTATAGTATTACATGTCGCTATTTTTAGCGCAGGGGCATGAGGAGAGTTATTGCGTATAAAACAGGTTCTCGGCGGACTTTATGTTCTTATTACATCTATTATAACTGTTTAATAAAGGCTAAATAAATCAAACACCATGGATTGTGTAAAATTTTGAGAATACCGAACATGAAAACATGAATATATACATGTATGTGACTTCTGTTCTGCATATACTTATCCCGGTAAAGCGACTCCGTGGTCTAGTGGTTATGTCTCTCGCTTCAAATGTGAGAGGTCCCGGGATCGAATCTCGGTCAATCCTTTTTTTTTTTTTACTAAATGATAGTATTCAGTATGTGAAATGAAAAATTTATGAGGTTATAAAATCATCATTACAGTGTGATAAATATTCCATATAAAAAAATCTTCTATACACATAATAAAGAATAAGCAATCAAATCTTTATATGCATATTGACATACATGTATTTTATTTCCTTCAGTATACATGTATACATTTAATAATTCTACAAATTCAGTCAGGGGGAGCCGACTTTTTCCCTAAGCGGGGGACACGAATTCTCTGAATTAGCTTGTTAATTGTAATACTATTAAATTGATGAGAGTCAAAAATTGGAGTGTTTCTTAAAAGAGGTGAGTTTTATAATCTTAAAAATTATCTTCAGGGAAATATATTATCTTTATTGATTATTCTGCATCACAAAAATCTTATACGATTTAATTAGCTATAATAGTGTGGAACTTTTCCATGTTGCAGTTACGTTTATAAAATATCCTATAAAATATGTTTGTCATATTTAAAATTATATGAATAAAAAATAATCAACAAATAACAAATAATAACAAAATTAATTGCATCAATTACAAAATATACTATAAAATACGTATAACAAATTATAAATCATATAAATTATATTAACAAAAAAGAAATGGCATGATAAAATATTTTCCTTTAAAAAAAAAAAAAAAAAAAAAAAAAAAAAAAAACTAACATTCTAATAAAAATGGAGAGAACTTTATTGGTTTGATATCTTAGGATGCCCGACTTTTAAAATAGGGAATAATTCTACAAGAACTGAATGGATGTATAGGCATATGCAACATGACGGTCAATGATTTTCATTGAATCCCCTCTTATTTTTCTTCCCTTGTATCTGGACTTTGAATTCATTTCTCATTTTAATTTGCTTAAAATTTTAGGGGATCCTTTATGTTACTATCAATTATCATTTATTTCAAGATTAGTCAATTCAGATTGCATTTCATCCTTCATAAATTTTCTAATACAATACATATATAAACTGAACTCTAAATTTTTTTTTAAAAATGTTCAGAATAACTTTATATCATAATTTATAATAATAAACCTTTATTTTTAAATCAAAACTGCGATATAAATACGAGAATTATTTTTTTAAAGAAAATTTTTAACATCAATGCCATACATGTATTTTTAAAATCTTATTACGGATTTCATAAAGATTAATTTTTTCTTAGTGGTCAAAATTTTTTTTAAGGCAGGCCATTATATATGAACGCAGTGAAGACGCACAAGCATGACCGCAGCATAAACGCAGTGATAGAAGACTGCGCCTCCATGGATATCTCAAAGAGACGCCGCGGAGTCCATGGAGATGTCACTGCGTTTCTATGGTGCCTATATTACGGTGCTTGTTATTATACAGTGTATGAGATTGAACGGCTTGGGTTTTTTTCGACTGCGATTACACAATGACAACACGGAGTTCTCACTGCGATCGTTGCGCTCCCATGGCGTTTCTACAGCGTCCATTGGCGTTCACATTTGCTCTTTCACGGCGTTGTTAGAGCGTTGTCAGCAAGCTCACAAAACAAGAACACTGGTCTTATATTTGATCAGCAATAATTCTAGTATTTATTGCACTGAGAGCATTAAAGTAAAACTGGGCAGAAAAAATTACACCAGAACCTGCGCTGTTGTTTTAGTGGAGTTGCGGAGGAATAACTTAAAATTTGTAGCAACTTCTCAATGTGTTTTATTTATAATCGTAAAGAAATCAAAGAAAATATAAAAATACATCTGAATCGATAAAATTGAAAAAAAGGATTAAAAAAAAACCTATTAATGATTTAGTAATAAATCACTAGTATTCAAATAGATCATTTTTAATTAAGAATTATATTTCTTGGCATGAATGGAAGTCTCTTCATCATGCAACTTAAATCTTTAAACAAAAATGTTTTACACTTCTGAATATTTATCCATTGGTGAAACCGGTCACGGTAGCCTAGTGGTAGAGCGTTCACCTCGTGATCGGGAGGCCCGGGTTTGATTCTCATTCGCGGAGCCGCGTCAAACCTAACACGTAAACATAGGCAGTAACTATGTCTTCGCCAAGCGCTCGGCACTATATAGAAGCGAAAGTCACGGGTCTTTCGGATATGACCTTAAAAACGAAGGTCCCATGTCACGATAGGCGTTGGCACGATAAAGAACCCTCACTGCTCAATGGCCCTGAGTGCCGAGTATAGGTCTACTGAAGACCTTCACCGGCATACGGTGACGTCTCTGGATGAGTGAAAAATTCTCGAATGGGACGTTAAACAATATATGATCAATCAATCCATGGGTGAAGAACGCATTGTGAACGTATTGTGAACGCAGCCAGCGCAGTGAGAACGCCGTGAACGCCAGGTGAAAACTCTTTAAAACGCGCCGTGATAACTCCGCGGAGGCGCAGTCAATCGCGAAGACATCTCCGTGGAAACGCAGTAGCACTCCGTGAAGTCGTCGTAGAAATGCGTCGGTCGCCGTAGGGACGCCGTGACATCTTCACATTCTGAAAATTTTACAGAAAATTGTGCAATTTCCCTGCGATTCTACGGCGATTTTAAAAATTTTACAACGCCGTAATGACTCCACGCAGCTTGGTGTGACATGTACAGGGCTAATTAAAAATCTTTAGAAATGTTAAGATTATCATCGTTTTTAAAAGCATGTAAAGAAAAACAATTTGTTTGTTTCAACATTTAAAAAAAGAGTATTTCAGAACCGCGAATTCCAAGCGGTTTAAAAAAAATAGCTTCAACTCAACGTATTTCCTCGGAAGCCCTGGAGGGACAATGACTTATAATTACTTGTTATGACTTATTGTTAAAACTTATTTGTTTTGACTTATTTGTTGTGAATATTTTGTAGGTACATGTAGTTATAACTAAGAGTAAGAAAGCTATTGAGAACCTGTTGCTTGGCTTACTTTTATAAAGAAAATGATGTTTAGTCCTATTTTAACTGTGGTTTTTGATTGATGAATTGTTAGTCTGTGATTACTAGTGCTCTATTGTTTTAGTTGTTAATAACAATTCCTATTTCTTGTTTCTTATATGTAACTTCCAGTTTGCATCATGATAGAAGAAGGAACATGGCTACTATTTTATCTTGTCGTTAGTAATAAATTCAAGGGCAAAATATTACTGACTTTTTTCTGAAACTACACGTTGCCTCAATCTTTCACGCCACTTGTTTTGTAAAGTCAACTTGTGATAACAAATTTAAAATAACAAGATTTCAAATGTAAGTCATAAGAACTAAGTCAAAACACATAAGAAGTAAGTCAATGTCCCTCAAGGGCGTCAGTAATTAACAGAAAAAAGTTTATTAATCACATCAGTACTATACGTTTAACTACAAAACTACAATTAATCGTTCTCAATGGCTAACCTACACTTATGTAGTTATAACTAGCTATAAAAAATTCAGAACAAATAAGTCAAAACAAATAAGTTATAACAAATAAGTCAATGTCCCTCCATGGCCTCCGTATATTCTAGTATAGCTTGGATAGCTTTTTGACTATTTTTTTACTATTTTAATTTTCAATTTTTTTTCGAGAGAGTGAAGAAATGATAAGCCATCGTATTGTAAACTTTTTCTTTGATGTTTTGTTTGTCTGGTCTTATTTGTACTTTTTTCTAGTCGTTTTTCAGGAGATCATGATCAGATATTATCATATTTTACATAACTTACAATCAGAGCTTGTGAGTTTTATAAATTTCTTGTGTGTTCAATTGTTTACATTTATACAATTAAATTCATTTAAATAAATGACAAAATTCATCTTTCAGGATGTGTTTATGATTTGTTTTATAAAAATTTAAAAAACAATAGCTATGGTGGGCATAAGAGGACATAAATATTTATTTTCATTTTAGAATGAAGAAAACAGCAAAATGGTTTTTCGCTGTGACTTTATCCTGCAGTGTGTATTTATTATTTGTGTGTTTCCATATGGACATAAGGAGAAAGCATAATGAATCGCCACAAGAAAACTTGTTATTACAAGAGCAAAGTAGAATCTTCGAGGATTACCTGAATTATTCCAACCCTAGTAATATAACCAGAAATGATACTGAGGATATACTTAGCATGGTATATATTTATATAATTTAATTTTATTTGTATTCTCGCTTCTCATTGGTTGATTTCCAAAAAGGAACGCATAACATTTTGTATAATCTGGTTTGGTATGGGGACACACCCCCTTGACGACCAGCTTAATCATCATATCCATGCAATCCCCTCATTTCCAGTCCTCGAAATCCATGGAAAATTCCAGATTTAATAAATGTACCTTCAACTTTAATCGATTACTCGTTCTTACCTCATGTAAACAAACATCATGGCTGCTAGATCTATGAATCAGTCATTACCTCCCCTCGCTTCAAATCACTTCCATTACTACGGTTGTATCATTGCGCGGTAAATTTGAACTTATAAAAAGCAACACAATTTTACATCAAAAGTTGTTTAATTATTTTAAAATTAAATTATAAGGAATGACTTTAATTCTTGGCCATATTATCGAGTATAATCTGGTTTGGATCAGTTTACGCTTTTTTATAATCCGCTTCGCGGATTATAAAGCGTAAACTGACCCAAACCAGATTATACTCGATAATATGGCCAAGAATTAGAGTCATTCCTTAAGTATTAAAAGTTGATAGGGGTTTGTTTTTTCTGATTCCTAAGTTTACACTTTTTTTTATATTTTAAACTTCATTAGCAAGATGTACACTATAAATGCATGTAGCATCGTGTAAAATTCTGCTGTCAAACTGACATGAAATCATAATCACAAAACGTTTTATACTGTAACAATTTTTTATCGATTTTATGAAATCACTTTCTGTGTACTTGAGGATATCTGCAAATTATGCTAGGAACCAGTTTCACCTAATGCGTACCTTACTATTTAGTAGGATTTAACAATTTTTAATGTTGTCATATACTTCTGTTATTTATGTCTTACAACTAAAGTAAAATATGTCAACATATACATTTTTGAGATAATTAGTTAATTTAAACTATCGTCAGTGAAAATAAGTGCATAAAATTAAGGATGGAAATACCTTAAAGATGGCGGATGATCTTACTCCATTTCATCTTGTTCCTCTTCTACTTGTCTTTTTTGTTACTTACGAAGAAAACTTTTAAAATACAGGAGAGAGAGGAATTCCTGAAGAATTTAAAAAATCCATGTTGGTTCAAATTCATAAATACAACCCAGGGTCCGAAGAAAGAACTTCGATGCTTCCTATTCTTCCATATATTTGGTGTGTGTAAATCTGAAGCAACAGATCTGTTCTTCCGTTTGACCCAGCATCCACAGATTTTGAACAACACTGGTATTTTAAATAAGGAAACTCAGTTCTGGTCGTGGAAACGTTTCGGGCAAGGTAACTTTAATAGCATATTTCTTTATTGTTTTCATTATCAGTGTTATATAGACCTAGGACTTGAATACTTGTTCCAGGGGGCATTTTATAATTTTGATTTGAAGCAAAAATATTTTTATTACCCAGAAGCATGTCCTGGGTACGATCAATTTTTTTATGATGTGTAAAGCTAGTTCCAGATAATGTGGTAGACGGTACATGTAACTATTAAGACATTCAAATTATGTTTCAAACATTATGTAACATACATGTATACTAGTATTGTCCATTCCGGCGGCACTTATTATAAAGAATCCATTTATGTACGAAGATATTTTTGAAAAGATATTTTTGATCAAGAGTATGTCCAGTCTCTTGCGTAGTGACCCATCTCACCACATTAGAAACATTCCAACGTTCTCTCTCTTTCAGGACTATATGATCTTAATCGATCATCTCTTATAGGAGATTGTGATGGTGATCTGTATCTTGGTCTTGGTTATCTCTGTGTTTCCATCAATCTTTGTAAAAAAAAATCCCTTAGCAATCTCTTGGTTGTCATTTTCTAGAGCTGTCATTCTTGTCTCCAAAGAAAGTACAGTTTTAAACCTTATGCTCGCATCTTCTTGGTGTATAGTTATAGGTCGAATTTCCTCTGCTTTCTCTTCAAAGAAAATTTTTCATACATTTCTTTCTCTTTCATGAAGAAAACATTTCACCGTTCTCTCTTTCTCTTTCATAGAGCAGGAAGAATACATCTCACCTGTATCGGTGAGGTATCTCTTTAATATTTGTGCATAGTGTAGAAATAAAAAATTGGTATTAAAAGTGGCAGTGGTATAAATTACACCGCACAGAAAATCGTGCATTTTGGCGCCGTTTTTTCTAAAAATTCTCTTTGTGTCATAAAGACAATATTTTTTAAGAGCTCAATTACTAGTCGAGAGAAAGCAGACCAAATGTTTGAAGAGATGCAGAAAAAGTTTAAAATGAAAGAGAAAGAAATGTATGAGAAATATTTTCTATGAGAGAAAGAGAGTTAGATGAACAAATGCAAAGATTTGTAGAACAGAAAGAGAATGTAAAAAGATTTGAGGAAAAAAGAAAGAACAGAAAAAGAAGAACAATTCTGGTTAAGAATGAGAGAATTAGATATAGAGAGAAAAGAGATGAAAAAGAGAGAAATAGATTTGAGACAAATAAAAGCAGAGAGAGAGAGAGAGAGAGAGAGAGAGAGAGAGAGAGAGAGAGAGAGAGAGAGAGAGAGAGAGGAAGAATACATTTCACCTGTATCTCTTTTATAATTGTGCATAGTTGTACAAATACAACAGACTTTATAATGTCTACAGCTACCGATTTTGAAAAAGAAATTCAACTGATATTCCCAAGCTCCAAGACCATAAACTGAGAACAGACTTAAGTCAAAATTTTTACTTTTAATATATTGAGTTTAATTGAATGTATTTGCTTATAAAATTGCAATTTTGTATAAAATTTTGAATTCGGTAAATGATGAAAATGTTTCTGATTATCAAAATTATTTCATAAGTTATGTTAGTTTGAAATTTTGACTTAAGTTTGTTGTCAGTTTATGGTCTTGCAGTCGGACTGGCGCATTATAGAACGATGAATTCTCAAGTGCTAGTTTTCATTAAAACATTTGTTCATAATCAAACGTTCTACAAGATTTCAACATGTTCAAAAAATTAATAAATTTTTAAAAATAAACGCATATTACTAAGTTTGCATTTCAGTCCGTTAAGTACAATTAGGTCCTACTAACATATACTTTTTGGGGACTTTAATATTATTATACAGAAACAAATAAATTCAGAATCCCCATTTAATTTTTTTTCTTGACAAAGTGAAGATCTTATCCTAAGGTTTATAGTTCTCTGTTAATAATAAATATTTGAATCTATGGTTTATGTTATTTGTATCTTAAAAATCGATATGTTCTTTCAATTCTTTTTGAATTAATTTAGACTCACCTGATCACAGAAACCTAACTCTGGACGAGTTTTCAAGCTTTTTTAGAGCCAACGAAATTGGGAGGACAAAGATTGGCTTAAATAAGAGGAATCGCTACTCAGATTTGATTACAGGTATACAGAACATATGACTTGGCATAGATTTTTATTCTGAGTATTGTCTAGTGAAGATTCAAAGTTCAGTTCTATAACTTTAATAGACTTAAATGTATACTATGTGTCTGTCAAATTGAGTATTCATTTAAGCACCAAAGACTCTCATTTATCAAAATAAATAAATAAATAAAAACAAAAATTAATAGTATTTACTGGTATATCAAACATCTTTATTTTGCAGAATAAACAAAATTTATTATATTTTCATTATGATGTAAATTTCTATGTAGGTCATGCTGATCCTATGGATTTTTGGGACCACAACCATTGGCGGGAAATCCCCCAAAATAATCCTAATTCCAGTGAGCCTAAATTTCTGAAACCCCACTTAGTAAGGCACGTGCAGCCGAACATTAAATTGATACTTCTGTTGCGTGAACCTGCAGAAAGGTATAAAGGTTTGAGCTCACTGCGAGATATATTTGATAAATTATAAACAAAATATATAAAATTAGATCAAGGGAAATAACTTTCTTATAGTATGTATATGACCTTTTCTTTCTTTAAACTACATTAAACACAATAAAAACATGATAAAGCTTCCTTGGTGAATTGAAATTATGTATTACTTCTAAAAGATAATCAGTAATTAAGTATAGGTCACACACTGTATCGATAGCTTCATGTAAGGTCTTTCAACCCATATTTATTTGAAAAATATTATTTTCGTTTATTTTGTGACTTTGCATTTAATTTACTTTGATTCATTAACAGTAAATCCCAACTTAATAAAGGCTTTATACCTGTACATGTATGCTGGTTTAAGTATGCCTGTATGCATAGTAAGTGTCATTAAAAATCTAAAATCTTTTACTCTATTACTTATATCCTTGTTCAAGAAACGACAGAAAAATGACATTTCTATCTTAAACTGGACAAAACACAGCAATATGAGGTCGATTATCAATGATGTTATGGACGTTGAGGACGATTTTCTCTCTGAGCTTTGTTCATTTAATAAAACTCGCAAATGAGACCTCTGTCTATTTCTTATAATTTGTAAGATTCCCGATCATGTCAAGGAGCACACGCGGGTGTGACTGGTCGGCAGGGGATTCTCACTTGATTCTCCTGATCCCGCCTCTGATGTTGCAGAGGTCTGCGTTTGCTCTGCTCCTATTTTGTATTGTTTTATGGACTTTTGATTTTGAATACTATTTGTTGTCTCCATATGTTTCTTATACAAGCGTTTATAATTTTAAGACTTTACAGTCATTATCTGCATGGACATTATTGTGACACACCAGAAGAATTTCACAGCGCAGTCCTGAAAGGCATTGAACTCTTCAGAACATGCTTGTCCAATAACAGTCTGAAGACTTGTTTATATAAATCTGACTTAAGTAAGGATATGAAAGTGAGTGAAACTTAAATCAAAATTATTATTTTGTTTAATAAGGATTTTTTCATATTTATCCCAAATTCTTTTATTTAAAAAAAGTATATTAAGGACAGATGACACAAACACAAAATGGATGCCCTGATTGGTAAATAGTTTTTGACATAATTTCTTTGCAAAGGATGTAAATTATAAATTTCCAGAAAATAAAGTGAAAACCTTCTGTGATGTTCAAAATACTACCCTTCTGAAACCATCCTTATTATTCTATACAAATATTTCTTTTATTTCAAATTTTATTTTTGTGCAATTTTGAATAAAAAAATAAAAAAAAACGCGGTGAAACTTTTCCATTTTATTCATTAAAACATGACTCAAGTTGTTATATAATTACTTTCAAAAGTTTTGAACAAGGTTTGTTTGTATCATTTGTCCTTAAGAAACAGAATAAACATTTGATATATGAAGTTATAATTGCAGATATATTTATAATTTTCTCTTTTCTTTTTATTTATGCAATCAAAAATATAAAGTTAATGTATTGACATCTTTCAAATGTTCACATGTATCTTGCGTATTCATTAAATTTCGCACATTTCACATACATGTAACTATTAGTATTTATATTCTTACTACAGATTCTTCGTGTAAGATAATTGAAATAGATTACGTTAAAAAAATATAATAAAATACCAAAATGTAATAAAATGAAAAACGCATTGTTAAATTTTTATTAAATTTTGTTTGCGATAATTGGAGAGAAAATTGAATTTTACTATTTATTTGTGACGTTGTCCTTTAAACACATTTTAGCTACTATTATCCGCTAGTTTATATTATATCCATCTACAAGAGTGGCTAGATGTGTTTCCTAGAGACCAATTTCTAGTGTTAAGAACTGAAGACTACCATAAGGATATGAAAAGCACTCTTCTTAAGTTATTTGCGTTTCTTGGTGTTGGTAAGTAGACAATATTCAGTCTAAATACCATCAAAGTATTTGCTTTCATTTAAAATATATTTATTCAAGAACTGTGTTTCCATGTTGGTATTTGTATTACCTTGAAAATTTTTCGTAACTCAAATTTATGGAGATAACGAACAATTTTCAAGCTCAAAAATACATAAAACAATACAGAATGGGATCAGAGCACGGACCTCCAAACACCAGGGGTGGGATCAGGTGTTATGGGGGAACAAGACTGGGATATAACGGAAAAATCTGTCGACAATTCATTGAGTTAATCATGGCCAATTCATTGAGTAAAGCATGGCCAAATAATTGGTACGAAAAAGTCAGTCAGTGTTTGAATCAATGACAAATTGCATTTGCTGACAAGGTCATTGTATCGACCATAGAACTTAAGAATTTATCACTTTAAATGGAACTGCTGGTAAGCATTATACTATAATTCTAATTTTAAGAGAAGAAGTATAGTTTTCATGCTTTAAGCATACGACTTTGATTATTTTACAAAAGATATATTAAAAAAATATCTAAAATAAACATTCTTAATTACAACTGAATTGATCATCATCTAAATATGTGTATAGAAATGCAAAGATACGGAATTTTGTATTTGTTGTTCTTTTACAGGAGACATTTATTCTGACGTTTTGGAACATATTCTTAAAGTGCCACAAAAGTACGAGACAAAAAACAAGCTGTTGCAGGGATCTATGTTGAAAGAAACCTGGAACATATTAACTGATTTTTTCAAGGAACCTAATAGAAAATTGGCAGACATATTGAATGATGAACGGTATCTATGGAAGGATATGAGATTCAAGTTTAGAGCTAAACAGATAGCAAAAAACGAAACAGAAATAAACTATATTTTCAAACTAGAGGGGATAGAGTCAATTACATGTAGCTCAACACGAACTTCTGTCTTTAACACAGAAAAATATGTCAAGAGAAACAATAAAGCTAACTATAGTTCACTATGAAAAATAGATTGTATAATTATTGTTTTACGTCCCTCTCGAGAATTTTTCACTCATATGGAGACGTCACTGTATGCAGGTGTAACGTTGAATATTGACCCGAGTTGAAAATTGAACCGGGAGTCATTTTTCAACGTTGAATATTGAACCAGGGGTGTTTTTTCTCCGTTGAAAATTGAGACCAAAAGTCGTTGAATTTATACCCGGGGTCATTTTTCAACAGCTTGATAATTTTTTTTCTTATCCCTGATGACCTCAAGTAGTTGAAAATTGACCCTGTTGAATATTGACCCCACCTCAGAGTTTGAATATTATTTGAACTTGGAAGTTGTTTTTACGGGATTTATCAGAATCTCTATACTTATATTTCGGTTTCAATTTTTTACCTAATCCAGAGTAATATAAATAAACAAATCATCCCATGTATATATGTACATTTTGATCAGTGCACGATTTCAGTTATCTTTAAGCATGGCAAGTCAATTTTTAACAATACTTTCTAAAACCCATGGCATCCATAAATAACTACAACACTATGAATAGGGCATAAAAAAAATCCTGGAAATCTGGTGTAAAAATAAAGACATCAATCAGCCAAACTTGTCCATGAAATTTATTAGGACCCTACACTCTAAACCAAACTTCTAAACCAGAAATTCCTTTCTGTTGAAAATATAGTATACATTAATATATATATATATATATATATATATATATATATATATATATATATATATATATATATATATATATATATATATATATATATATATATATATATATATATATATATATATATAGTAAAGAGTGTTCGGCAGTTTTTGTGACGGGTACTTGCTCCAATGCCTGCCTCATCAGGGGGTCCACCAATGTATTCTTGTGGTAAACATGATCTAAAAATTATATCACAATCGCCTTTGCTTTTATCTTTGCTATAAGCTTTAATTGATTCCAAGGTAAATATTTCTTTTCATCTTGTGTCTGTTTTCGTTTCGTTCCAGTATTTTAAGATGCGTTTTTTAGTCCGTTGACACTCGGATTAAATTTTGTAACCATAACCAATTTATGGTGGGGTCTCAATTGGCCGTTAATTTTTTTAGGATCTCATTTCTGTCTGTTCCCATTATTCCTGTGATAATAGGATCTAATTCTGTATCAGAGAAGCCTCTATTTGACAAGTCTTTCCTAAAGTCTTGTAGAATAGTACTGAGAGCAGTGTCATTGGTATTTCTCACATGTCTTTTGCATTTACCTTTACCGAAACCTTTGAATACCACTGGGTTGTGAGAACTTTCTCTGTGTGGATATTGGAAATTGTTTGTTGGTTTTACTTAAGATTTGATATCAAGTTTGTTTGATTCTTGAAATTTTCTTCCTTTACACACTTTTGTGTCTACAATGTTTACTGAATCAACAGAAATTTCAAAGGTGAATTTTAAGTACGGATGGCACTGATTGCAAAGTTCAAAGAAATCAAGAATCTCAGTCTCAGAACCTTTGCAAATGATGAAACCATCATCTCTAAATCTGCCCTGAAACAAGATTTTATTAGCAAATTGAAACATCCCAAAAAGGGAGATCAACCGGGGTTCTTTCCATCCTATACTTAAAATAAATATGTATTGTGGGTTTCGTTCTTGAACTGTTTGATTAACTTTGCCAAAAAGATCATTATACCTTTTATTTTGAAAAAAAAAATCCATTTTGCAAGCTTGACATTATAAGTTACTAACGACGTTCGATCCTAATACTTAAAGTCTTAAACTTTTTTTGCCAAGTATATATTTCAAGTTTCTACATACATAGCTTTATTAAAATTGAAATCAAAAAAATGGGTGTCAATATGCTTCTTTTGGCGCTACAGTACATTTAATATGACCTTCTTGCACTGAAATTTGGGTCTTAATTAAAAATTACATCTTCGATGTTTTCCCTGCAATATTTTTATCCAATTAAAGCAAGAAACAAAATGAACTCTAAGTCTGTTTAAAAAAAAGACACTTTAAAATTGTAACTAAGAAAAAGTTTCAAATTACTTCGCATAATCAATTATTTGACCTTTCTGCACTAATAAAATGTGAATTTTCTGCCATTGAAAATTTAATAAGCAAGAAAATTATTTTAAAGTCTTAAACTTTTTCTGAATTAAAGCAAATAGGTCAAAGTTATCTTGAATATTTAGAAAAGAATATCAAAAGTGGGGGTATATGATGTTAATTTTCAGATATTACTAAAAAAGTGTAAATTTTACGTTAAATTTGGCTCAATTTTTTCCCGGGTTTTCAGAATATATTTACTATATTTGTCACACTTTGTTGATAAAATTCATAAGAAATAATTTAATAGATATTTCAGAACCAGCATGACACATTTCATTGCAAAAAGCTTTGTGTGCAACCAACATGGAAAAATAGTAATCCAAAATAAAGAGTACCTTTATTGTTCAAAAGGGAAAAACTGATGATTTTCGTCTAAATAACCTTCCGCCACAAAATATAGTCCCTAGTTTAATTCAACTTGAATGGAATTTAATCGCGGTTTTTCCATTGAATATAGTTCAATTTGCATTGTAGAATTCAGATTTAATGTTAGAATTTAAAAATGATGCAGGATTTTATAAATAAAGGACATGACCAAAATCCACTCAGAAACTCAGGATCGAACGTCCTTAATGTTGCGCATAACTAAATAAGCATTAAAACGCACGTGCATCATGCATTAAACTCTCACTATTTCCCAAATACTAATATTACGAATTTTAAGATTAAAATAAATGAAGTGTTGTTGGGAAAAAGCAAGTATAGATAAACAAATTTCTGATCTAAATTGTATATTGTGTAACTATGTATACTAATAGGATTTACATATACCTATGATTAACATATACTAATGATTTTTTTAAAATAAATATTACACGGAAATATTGCGATTTTAAACTACGTGTTACTTTATAATCTAAGATATTTTTTTAAATATTTTATTCTAAGAATATAATTGAATTACTGAATTAAGTGTGTATTGATAATATTGGTGACGGGAGCAAATTGAAAGTGCGGGGGGGGGGGAGATAATTGAAAAAGAAAACAATCAAATTTTAAAAATAATTGACACAAAAAGAAAAGAAAATTTGTCCATTGTCAAAACTTGTAGTCCAAGCCCGAAAATCCTAATTTTTTTTTTTTTTAAAAAATAAATATTAGGATCCGATTTTTTTTTTTTATCAAGCACTACCACTTACTCTTCTTTCTTTGAGTACACTGTGAGGTGCCTGTTGAAAGGGAAGGCTAAATCTATTTCACTTTGTTCATTGCCTATATTAATTATGCCCCGTGGGGATCCGGGTTAGAATAGGTCCTCAGTACCCCTTTGCTTGTCGTAAAAGGCGACTAAATGGGCAGGTCCTTCGGATGAGACCGTATAAACCCATGCCCCATGTCACAGCAGGAGTGGCACGATAAGGATCCCTCCCTGCTCAAAGGCCGTAAGTGCCGAGCATAGGCCTAAATTTGCAGCCCTTCACCAGGAATGGTGACGTCTCCATATCAGTGAAATATTCTGGAGAGGGACGTTAAACTGTACACAATCAATCAATCAATATATTAATTATGTCTATCTTTCCAAAAAAAGTGTGGGGGGATGGCTAAGCATACCTCCCCCCCCCCCTCCCCCATCCCCACGCCCATGGATTAAATCACAGTTGTGAAAACTAAGTAATAAATATGTGTTTTATGCTGTTGAATTTAGAACCGGTTTCATGACCAAAATTCCACGACCCGGCTCACTTTTCAACGGACTAGGGTCTAAATTCACCATCTTAGGTCTCAGTATTCAATGTTGAAAAATGACCCCCGGGTCAATTTTCAACCCGGGTCAAAATTCAACGTTACACCGGTGAAGGGCTTCAAATTTCGACCTATACTCGGCAATCAGGGCCATTGAGCAGTGAGGGTTCTTTATCGTGCCAGCGCCTACCGTGACACGGTACCTACGTTTTTAAGGTCATATCTGAAAGACCCGTGGTGACTTTCACTTCTAGTGCCGAGCGTTTGGCGAAGGAACAGTCACTACCTATGTTTACGTCTTAGGTATGACGCGGCGCCGCGAACGAGAATCAAACCCGGGCCTTCCGATCACGAAGCGAACGTTCTACCACTAGGCTACCGTGACCGGTCTATGATAAATAGAAGAGTAGCGTAAAAAAAGTAAAATAATTGCCTTCTATAAAGTTACAAAACCATAAAAAAAAGCAAATGTTATACATAATTATACCTTAGTCAAAGAAGAAAAAACTAGAGGTACTGTGTGCAATGAGCTCACTAAATGATACCCCCAGCTTCCCATATGGATATAATGGCAGTGTGCATGGTTTGCCATTGGAAACCAAAATTATGTTTCGGATCAAAAAGTAAAAAAGGAGGTGCATAATGGCAATATGTAACAAAGATTCTGTGAAAGTCTCATCAAATTTCATTCTGTGGTATCAGAGGAGTTGCGAATAAGAGATGGGTACCCCAAAACGTAACAGGCGGACGGACAGACGTATAGACGGATGTACAGACCTACATACCGATTACTATATACTCTCCCGATTATATTATCCGTAATAAACTTGTCTGATAGATGTAGTGGAAATTTTGAGTGTATGGGTGTTTATGATTTATTTTGCCAAAAGGTTAACGTTGACTAACGTTGAATTTAGTCTTCTGACACGTATACAATGTGGAAATCTCTGCAGGCATTTTACTTCAGTTTTGTTCATTAAAGCAATATGAGCTGCAACTTTGATGACGAAAATTTTTGTTGCAATATTGTAATTAATTATTTGAATAACAGAAAAAAGAACATTTATAAACTTCTATTCTTTATATTACAAACAAGAGGACTATTTATATGCTTTGACTGAAGCAAAATTACATTATTGTCGTCCTTACAATATTGATTTCTTATATAATACTGTAACGTGTTTACCAGAACAATAGGGTTCTTTACAAGGGATATATGAT